TCCTTCACTGAGCTTCAAAGACATTCCAGATAAACCGTAAAACAGACATCACATTCAAAATCCATTTTCCCCTATGATTTCATATCTTGAACTATGGAAGACTTACAAGGAGACCAGGCATATATTCAGATCGGTCACTTTAATACAAGTCGCCTGATATTACACCCCCCCAGCTGGAATCTACAGGAGAGCAGAAAATTATATCTCCTTAACCGCCCCAAGCAGGTATGTCATATTTTATATCTAGACATTCAGCAGATGCTTCTGCATATTAATCTACTAGTGGCTAGGCGGCTACATGCCCCGAGGGTAAGTTATGGACCATGATAAAAACGGCGAGGGATTTTGGTTTTAGCTTGGGTCTCCGCCCAACACCCTCCCCAAATGAGGCAATTGGTTCTCTGCTGCAAGGAGACACCCTGCTGAGTTCCTCGAAACAGGCTGTTATGTTTGGAGTTAAGCTGAGTTGAGCTAAGTTGAAGAATTCTCTCTTTTAACATCGGAACCAACTTTGGGAGATAAAGGCCCTTTTTTGCTCAGGAAACTTGATCTGCTAAACCAAGGCTGACGGCAAGTACTTTATCTCTCTAAACCAGTGGTTCTCAACCTGTGGGTCGTGACCCCTTTGGGGGTCGAACAACCCTTTCACAGGAGTCGCCTAATACCATCGGAAAACACATGTTTCCAATGTGTAAAGAGCAGCTACTGTGTAGAAAGCAGCTGCGGTGTTCAAAGCAGATACTCTATTAAAAGCAGCTACTGTGTTGAAAGCAGCAGTATTGGAGGTAAAACAACACTCATGAATTATAATTACTGGGTAAATAATTTTATGGTTGGGGGTCACCACAACATGAGGAACTGTATTAAAGGGTCGCGGCATTAGGAAGGTTGAGAACCACTGCTCTAAACCTCTTTCTGTTATCTCTTTGCTGTGTTATTGCTCTCTGTATATTTATATATGTATATTGGCTTCATCTCTTTCTGTAAATATTTTTATTGAACCCTTTTTGACCTTTTAGTAATAAATCTTACTTTCTGAAAGTGTTGAACTGTTTCTAAAGCTCTTTAATGCAAACTTAGAATCTCTGCCTCTGAAGAGCGCTACTGTGTGTTTTAAACTTCTGTATATTTCTGCCTGCGGTGACCGCAGCATACAGATGCTTAGGCAAACATCATAGTGTTATTGCTGAGTTTCCTCTTTCTTTGTACAAAAGGAGGTGGTGGCAGTGTGAAGGGTTAATTGCGTAATTAACCTGACCCAGTAACAATCGCTCCCAGGCTGCAGGTGCACAGATTGTGGTCCATTAGCTGGAAAATCTTTGTGCAAGGTGCAGCTGGGCATGGCATTGTTACGCACGTGACAGCGCGGTTTTAGATTGGCTAGTCCTTCGGTCACGAGTTTGGTGAGGAGAGCTGGGGTCTGACGCCGCGATAGCCACACTCCTCTCCTATCCAGCTGTCAGGACAATTCAGATGCTCCAGACTTTTTCAGTTGGGTGATCAGTAGTTCCATCCTTTTCTTCGCCTGGAACACTTGGGTCTGGTCGTGGAAACATCCCAAGCAAAGGTTTTCCGTCCAGTAAAGAGTGATTCTTTCTCTAAAAGCCCATGCTCAAGAATTTAGGTCATAAAGACATCTCACAATGAGATCCTTCATGAAGGATCTAGGCTTCATGGTAGCCTCCTTCAAGGCTGTCCCATTTGTCCAATTTCATTCAAGAGCTCTCCAGTACAATATTCTATTCACATGGAACAATCCTGCTCTGTTTCTCAGACTACCCATGCTCCTGTCCAGTCACACAAGGAACTTTCTGTCATGATTTCAAGCCCAGCCCTAACAAGAGGGAAGTCTTTCCTTCCCTATAAGTGGAAAGTAATAACAACAGATACCAGATTTTCATGGTTTGGGAGAGTGTTCCAGTCCCTCATAGGCCAATGGAACATGATCACCTGTAAAAAGCAAAGCCCCATTAAATTCCTGAAGCTTAAATTAGTTTGGCTCTGCACCACCAGAACCCCCTTCTACGAGGACACCCAATTAAGGTGCAATAAGACAATGCCACAGAGTGTGTTAGGGTTACAGGGGAGGCGCCCAGGTGGCATGTCTTCAAAAGCTGTGCCATTGTCCAATCATCTGAAAGTACAAGCCTATAACCCATGAATGTTTTTCCTGTGTCCTGTACTGTACTCCAAGATATAAAATTTACATATAGGCCAAAATTCCTCTTTTGGACACACAAACAAAATATATTACCCAATTTTTCTGTTAAAATATAAAAGATGAGGTTATGCAGAGTAAATAGATACACAACATGTGAAGCCTTAACCCTTTCTTTGCCAGGTGCGTACACCATACAGACCTGACAGCAGGGAGTTCTATACACAATTCGGTGGCTGCAGCCACCAGGATTGTGTATAAACCTGACAGGCAGACTCCTGCTTGTCCAGGTAGAAGCAGTCAGACGGCTCTGCTGTTGATCTGCAAGCCTGGGGAGAGCCATGGTGGGTGCCAGTGGGTGAAGGGGAGAGAGGAAAGCAGAGGAAAGCGTCCACTCCCCTCCCCTTCTTTGTGTGACCTGGAAGGCAGAGTGGGAGCGATAATTCCAGCACCAGACCTCCTCTGTAACGCTAAACCGATGACCTTCAAGGGCTTTTGAAGCGACGTCTATAGAAAGTATAAGGTACTGAAGTTTGATGCAATTTCATAGGTGCACACAAATGGGTATCTACTTGTGTGGCACAACCTCCTCTTTTATATTTTACCAAAAACGTGGGTAATTGATTGCGTATGTTTGACGTAAAATTCACTTTAGTTTGATTTTTACTGAAGTGTTGCTTCCTTTGTAATAATATCGTGTGACATAAAAAATTGGAACTACCACTACTTTATTCTCTAGGGTGTCTGCTTTCAGAAAATATACCATGTTTGGGGGTATTGTGTAATCTTCAGTCAAAAAATTAGTTTTTAACTGCTTCCCGTCCACCCTATAGCAGATATACTGCTACAGGGCTGCACAGGTGCGCAAAATCGCGACCATGGCTGTCAATCACCGGGTCCTGGCCGGTGATTACTCGCTGGCACCTGGTGATTTCCGACGATCTCCAACGAGGAGGAAAACTGTTTTGTTTACTAACAGTTCTCCCTGTAAGCTTGGGGACACTGCTTTGGATGGCTGTGCTCTGCACAGCCATCCAAAGCAGTGTGCTTACAGTGAAGCACACTGACACAGCACCCTAGTAAAACACTCCCAGCACACAGTTAACTCTTTGTTCGCCCCTCATGTTAACCCCTTCCTGCCCAGTGCCAGTAGTACAATGAAAATGCTCTTTATTAGCACTGATCACTGTATTGGTGTCCCTGAGGATGTCAGTGACATCAAGTCAGTTACCCCCAGTGTCAAAATGTCCCCTGCAGTCTCACTATAAGTCGTTGATCACCGCCATTACTATTAAAAATAAAAATCCTAGTATCTGTACCGCCATTTGTAAATGCTAAAAAACTTTCACGTAAACCAATTAATTTACACATATTGGGGTTTTTTGTTTAGCAAAGACATGTAGCAGAATACATTTTGGCCTAAATTTATGACAAATTTTTTTTTTTTTTTTTTTTTTTTTTTTTTACATTTTGTTTACTGGACATCTTTAATAGCAAAAAGTAAAACATTTTGTTTTTTCTGAAAATTGTCAGCCTTTTTTATGTAAAATGCAAAAAATAAACGCACAGGCAGTGAAATACCACCGAAAGAAAGCTCAATTTGTGGGAGAAAAAAGGACGTAAATTTAATTTGGGTGCAGCGTTGCATGATAGCGCAATTGTCAGTTATAGTGCCGTAATGCAACAAATGGCCTGGTCAGGAGGGGGGGGGGGTAAATCCTGAGGATGCAAGTGGTTAAACGTGTACAAAATTGGCTCTTGCAGTGAAAGGATTAAACTTGTATGTGCTGTGAACAGCAATGAACTTCTGTACCCTACATTGTGTGGCAATGCTTTAACCATTAGCCGCCCGGCCAATAGCCGTTTGGCGGCCGGAAAAATGCTGTAGATTTCCGGGTGGATGCCATATGGCGTACTCCTGGGCATGCGCAGTTTGCTTGCTTGCAGAGCCGCGCAGCGGTGCGATCTGTCACCGGCCGTGTACCTCGGACACAGCCAATGACAGATCTGAGTACAGGCCCCAGTTGCCGATACCATGTGACCAATCACAGCAGGTCACATGACAGTTGTATACAATGGATGGCTTCATTCATGCCATCCATTGTATACTAGTGTCTAGCTGTGATTAGTCACAGCGATCACATGCCCATGTCATGTGATTAGCTGTGGCCAAATCAAAGCACAAAAAAAAAAAAACCCTGAATGAATCGATGTCATTCAGGTAAATGCTTGCTTATAGCAAAGTAATTCTTTGCTATAAGCAAATTGTGTATAAAAAAAAAAAAATATTGATCACTTCCCCAAAGTAGTACAATGTTACTATGGTAACATTGTACTACTTTGGTCATAGTGAAATATGCTAAAAAAAAATCTTAAAACAAAGATTTTGGGTGGTAATGTCTTACCTGTCCTTCATTGAAGCTAATGGAGTGGCCACAGCGGCTGGGGAGAGTGATAGCCTGACACAGAATTGATGTTTTACACGTTGATTCTGGGTTCTTACTAGGTAGGGGAGATCGTCAAATGGACTTTTGCTAGTCTCCCTCTCCTCTACCCAGTGGCATCTGCGATCCTGGTCCTGGGTCTGCTGATGGGAACGCAGAGCCCTGGAAACATGGCTGGGGCGACAGTGATAAAAGCTATTCTTTTCAGTTACTCTATTAGCATTAACCCTACTTTCCTATTGCTATATTTGTATCCTTGATACCCCAACACCTAAAATGGAAGGTGTATCAACTCTTAATTCTTTTTATTCTTGCAGAAGTGATATGTGAAAGAACTCTTCTTGTGAACACAGCTTAAGTTTTCCATATTTATGTTTTATGACCTGCTTTAATTTCAGGGGCAGAACAAGGCACCTGGTATTTGGACCTAAAAAATGACAAGGGTGCAGTTGGAAAAGGGGAACCATCTGTAAAAGCTGATGTGGTGATGAGTTTGGACAGCGAGGACTTTGTGAAAATGTTTACAGGTTGGTAAAAATGATAAATAAAATGACACACGTTAAGAGCCCTATGTGTAAAGTTATGGTTAGGAAAAGGGCTGGTGTTGCCTGTAGCATCCACCTCATCAGGTGTGAGAATTGTTGGATTCAAGCAGTTGGTTTTTGCGGGTAAAACACATTTCCCTGTCCCACGTTTCTGCACATTAGGCCCAATGTTGCAGTTTTAGTGTGGGCAGTTCATTCATTAAAGTGGTAATGAAGTAAAAATAAAAAATCGAATATATTAGTTTACCGATCCTTACATGTGGTGGCATATTAGTTTTCTTTTTTAGGCTTTTTTCACCTGATGATATGGCCAATAACACACCTCCTGTATTAGAGTGCTCCAACTCTGGATGAAGGCACACAGGGGGCACCTTTGGACAGCAGCATTACTTATCTGGGAGGAGAGTGTTAAATGTACTAGCAGATTTGGCCAAACTCTAAATTCTAAATCCTAAAAACTCTAAGCTCTAAATTGAAGCCAAACTCCAGCTAACACTTTATAAACAGTTAAAGCAGTTTTTTTAAAAAAAACTTTTTGGATAAAGGTTTTACATACATAAAAACTGATCATTTGTATTCACCCTTGTCAGTGTTAAATGGTTTGTCTCATCCTTCTAACACCACTACATCTGCAAGAGAGCTTGTTCTTTTGAAAAATAACAGACTTACTGGACAGATCAGCAGGTGAAAATAAGGGGAAGAAAGCTTAAAGAAAACGAATGCAGCCACCACATCTAAGAACTGGTAAGCTGCAATATAATTGTTTGCTTTTAGGCTTAATACTGCTTTAAGGTCCAACCTGTAGTGAATGACATGTGTCACTCACCAGCTGCAATTTAAAAATAATGCCCAAATTATGAATGTGACTCATTGAGATTTTTTTTTTTCCTGTACAGATCAGAACAGGAAGTAAAAGGGAATTGTCCAAACGGGGGGAAATCAGTATACAAAAAAAAAAAAAAAAAAAAAAAAGAATAGAATACATTTTTGTCCTAAATTTATGAAGATTTTTTTTAATTAGATATGTTTTATAGCAAAAAGTATATAAATAAAATAACATTTTTATTTATTTTTTTTCCAAAATTGTCAGTCTTCGTTTATAGCACAAAAAATAAAAACCCGTAGAGGTGATCAAATACTACCAAAAGAAAATTATATTTGTGGGGAAAAAATTACATAAATTTAATTTATGTACAGCGTTGCTTGACTGTGCAATTGCCGGTTAAAGTAATGCAGCAGCATATCACAAAAAATTGCCTGGTGTGGAAGGGGGGTAAATCTTCCAGAGGGCAAATGGGTATATAACTCAACCATCCACCCACCAAACCACAAATTAAATAAAAAAAAAAACAGTAGAGTAGGCTTCCTCAATAGTATCTGTCACTGTTAAACTAGCAAGTAGATATATGTTTGTAATAGGATGTAACAAAAAGAATTCATTCAAAACAATTGATACAAAAGACTTTAACCACTAGCCTACAGGGCACTTATACCCCCTTCCTGCCCAGGCCAATTTCCAGCTTTTAGCGCTGTCACACTTTGAATGACAATTGTGCCGTCATGCAACACTGTACCCATATTAAATTTGTAGCATTTTTTTTAGACAGAGCTTTCTTTTGGTGGTATTTAATCACCTCTGGGATTTTTATTTTTTCTTAAACCAAAAACCACTGAAAATGTTGAAAAAAAAAAAAAAAAAAACGTTTTTTTTCTTAGTTTTTGTTATCCAATTTTGTAAATAAGTGATTTTTTTCACTGATGTGCGCTAATGAGGCTGCACTGATAGGCTGCACTGATGGACACTGATAGGTGGCACTGATGAGGAGGCACTGGTAGGTTGCACTGATGGGCATTGACAGGCATCACTGATGGGCACTGAAAGGCAGCACTGATACATGACACTGTTAGGCGGCACTGACTAGCAGCACTGTTAGGCGGCACTGATGGGTGACATTGAAAGGCAGCTCAGATGGGCACTGATGTGGCTTTGATGTACACAGGTATGCACTGATATGTGGCACTGATGGGCACTGGCACGTGACACTGATGAGCACTGACTGCTGGCACTGATGGACACTGACAGGTGGCACTTCTGGGGCCACACTGATCATCAGGGCACACTGATAATCAGTGCGATGTTGATCAGTGTACATGTCCCCTCCGCGGAAAGCCGATTACCGGCTCTCCTCACCTCTCGAGCTGTCAGCGTGACAGCTCGAGAGGAGAGAAATGCCGATAACTGGCATTTCCGTGTATACATGTGATCAGATGTGATTGGACACAGCTGATCACATGACCGAGCCGACATCTTCGGCTCATTCCGTGATCCGCTGTGTCCGAGGGACACAGAGCACCGGCGATCACTGCGCACTCCCTGAGCCACGCATGCGCAGTGATAATGGAACTACATCATATGACGTCCTATCAGAATGAGAGAACCACCTTGCGCCCGTCATTGTACTATATGGCGGGCAGAAGGTGGTTAAAAAATGTGTTCAATATAAACATCACATGTATTCAAATTACTTGGTGCAGACCCTTGTAGAAAAAGGGAGAATTACATTTTCTGTGGTTAGAGTTAAATAACTCTCATGAATCTACCTCTATGGGATTATTGCATTGCAAAGTGCTGTTACTCATGTCTAAATCGTAGTTTGAAAGGAGCTTTTAAAATGTGCATGTGTAGTTAATTCGAAAAAATTGCCAATATTAATTATTATATTATACAGGATTTATATAACGCCAACAGTTTGCGCAGTGCTTTACAAAATGAAGGTAGACATAACAGTTACAATACAGTTTGGTACAAGAGGAAACGGAGGGCCCTGCTCGTTAGAGCTTACAATCTAGGAGATACTTATGAACTTTCCTCCACTTGAATGTATTTTTTCACATGGAAATAAACATGTCCAAAATAGATGAACATAATGCAGTATTAGAACCAAACAATATCCAGAGTATATGAAAATAGTTTGACATTTGAAAATCTTTAGCCTATTATATCCATTGCTTCTAGACCAGCGTTTTTCAACCTTCTTTCAGTCAAGACACCCTTTAAAATCGGGCACAATCCTTGAGCACACTAGTCTGAGGTCTTCTCCACACCAGGTGCATTCGAGTGCATGTGCTTTTTTTTGCACATTCTCACACAAATACGCAATATGCTTACATGAATTTACTATTGATTACCATGCCTGCAATTAAATAAATTGTGCTGAAAAAAAAAACTACCAACACAAACATTTTTGTACCTCCCAGAGCTCACAGGAGCTCATATACAGCCCACTGAACAGCCTCCTCCCTGTGTATCTTTGTAGCCTCTCACACCAGCATGTGCCCCCCCAACTACTGACAGAGAAACTCCATCCAACACATCCAAAAAAAAAAAAAACTCTAGAGTGCATCCCGGAAAGCTATGCGAGCATCCGATCAGCCCTTAGCACGTCATCAGTTGGCAGAAAGTGGGCAGGAGGGTGGCCTGCCCAGCTTTCTGAGTTCCTGTGGCAGCTTGACACAGCAGACCAGCACCACTGTAATTAAAAAAGGCTTAACTGATGGCAAGAAGAATATATTACTAGACTGATGCCTTAGTTGGGGACATTTTTGCTCGTGCACGGCACCCCAGTTGAGAAACTCTGTTCTAGACAACCTAGCACTGTACACAGACAACTTTGTAATTCCATGTGTGTTGGGTAGTACGCTGCTGATTTTAATACAATGTGAGTGTTTTACATTGCTTGCAAATAAATACTGTACCATACTGCACTTAGAGGCGCTTTTTTCTTCCTTATCGTGCTGAAGTGTGACTGTGGCTATTGACTTTAATACATTGTAAAGTGTACTATCCAGTATTTATGATGTTTGATATGTCTATATGCTCAATGTTATCAAATCTGCACTCATAAAAACTGTATATCATGTTTTCTCTTGTGTTTATTGAAGGACACAGCTCGGTATCATTTTTTGACTGTAGGATTATAATGAAACTTTCAGGAGTAGGACAGTCGCAGACAATCCCTTCCAATTTGTTGCACTGCCCTTTGGCCTTTCCCCTGGCCTATCATTTGTGGTGCTGTAACTCTGCAGTTTAAGAATGATACCGAGCTGTGTCCTTTTATGAACTCGGAGAAATGAATTGTATAAAAAATATAAAATCAACATTTTATATAAACTGTTAGCATATAAAATGTCTGAGCATGTGACTGTGACATATTTAAAGGACAAGTGTACCTTTTTAGTTAAAGTTTTCTCTTAAGGTATACCCCCCAGAGTACAGCCCACCTGCAGAAATACCTTATTCTTCGATCCAGCAATCTTCACTGTGGAGACCTGCCTGTAGCTGCACAGCTTTTGCGTTTGAAAAGGACCTTCATATTGTACTCTAAATCCAGAGCTTGTGCCCTGCAGGTCCGTTCATTGCTGCAGGGAGTACTCTGCAGAACCGCTGGAAACTGCAATGTAGTATTAAATGTGAATAAATATAAATAAATCAATAATACCCCCAGTGCACAAAGGGGTTAAACTATTATCAAGTGCAACACGTGGATTCCCAACGGGAATGATGAATGTGTAAAAGTGACCAGTGTCCTGACCGACGCTCGAAAAAAATATACCTCAAATAACCCTCTGCCGTGATACATACAAAAATTACACAATAATAAATACAGCAAATAAAATGTCCATGATAGTGCTCAAAACACAATATTCATGCAAGTGCTGCTATATGTTCACTCCGTGCAAATCTTTAGTGGCCGAAGTGCCCCCTCACCTCCTTAAATCGACCCTACAGGGTCAGCTCGCTCTGAGAATTAAGACAACTCTGGATGGCAACAGGATTCTGTTCAAATCCAGTCCCAAGTACTCCGATCCTTTAATGCACCGCCCTGTCAGCAGCATCCCCTCCGGATCATATGCAAACAAAGAACCTCCATAGTGTAAAACCGTTTTTTTTTTTTATTTGGATGTAAACAGTAAAGAAAATTGCCCACTCACATGCCCCTTCTCCTTTTAACACAACTCTTCTACCTCATGCTAAAGATGTATTGCATGGGTATTGATACAGGGATTTCAAATATGGCCCCCACGCCGGAAGTGACGTCACCGCGCACCCGCAAATACCTCCTCGGACCCTGAGGAAGTCATGTGTCCAGCGTGACGCAACGCGTCGGTACACGAGGAGGTATTTCCGGGTGAGCGGTGACGTCACTTCCGGCGTGGGGGCCATATTTGAAATCCCTGTATCAATACCCATGCAATACATCTTTAGCATGAGGTAGAAGAGCTGTGTTTAAAAGGAAGGAGCATGTGAGTGGGCAATTTTCTTTACTGTTTACATCCAAATAAAAAAACGGTTTTACACTATGGAGGTTCTTTGTTTGCATATGATCCGGAGGGGATGCTGCTGACAGGGTGGTGCATTAAAGGATCGGAGTACTTGGGAGTGGATTTGAACAGAATCCTGTTGCCATCCAGAGTGGTCTTAATTCTCAGAGCGAGCTGACCCTGTAGGGTCGATTTAAGGAGGTGAGGGGGCACTTCGGCCACTAAAGATTTGCACGGAGTGAACACATAGCAGCACTTGCATGAATATTGTGTTTTGAGCACTATCATGGACATTTTATTTGCTGTATTTATTATTGTGTAATTTTTGTATGTATCATGGCAGAGGGTTATTTGAGGTATATTTTTTTTTCGAGCGTCGGTCAGGACACTGGTCACTTTTACACATTCATCATTCCCGTTGGGAATCCACGTGTTGCACTTGATATTAGTTTAACCCCTTTGTGCACTGGGGGTATTATTTATTTATATATTCACATTTATTTTAGCGCTGCACTGTTAAAAAATATATATATATATATATATATACTTTACTCTTGTGTAAGAGGTTAGTGTCAGCAGCATGAGTGTTAGGGCCCCATTTTAGCGCAGGAGAATTTTTCTGCCATTGCAATGTAGTATGGCTCCCCCTCAGAATAAGTTGGGCTGTGGAGTGTATGAAGGATGAAGCTGACCTGACTGAAAGGGTTTCTGTAACAAAACTGTGTATCTAAGAAGGGCTACACTGTGAAGATTTCTGAATTGAGGATAAAGGTGAGTACCTTTCCAGGTGGGCTGCATTTAGTGATAATGTTGTTCCTAGGGCATGGAGATACGTGTGTGTGTGTGTGTGTGTGTGTGTGTGTGTGTGTGTGTGTGTGTGTGTGTGTGTGTGTGTGTGTGTTTAGGTACCCAATCTATTTTCCAGCAGGGATAACATACTATATGTTATTGCATATTCATCTGTTCCCATTACTATTTTGATTTTTTTTTTTCACATTTGTTTTTGAAAATGTAAATTAAACAAGAAATGAACATATATTCTGGCAATCATTAATGATATTTAATCTAATTATCAGGAAAACTAAAGCCAACAATGGCATTCATGGCAGGGAAGCTGAAGATCAAAGGCAATATGGCTCTAGCAATGAAACTGGAGGCGCTCATGGGACAAATGAATTCCAAGCTGTAATTTGTCAGAGACATCTATGTTACCACTGAAGACACAACCCTGAATCCTGCAAAAGAATCTGCTTGGACAAATGTTGTTTGAAATTATGACCGTTATCCACTGAGGACCGGTTCACACCACATGCAGTCCAGTGTGTTTTTTTTTTTTTTCTGCATCAAAAATGCAAGGATAATAAGTTATACGTTTTCCAATGGCAAAAACGCACTAGAATGCACCAGTCCTTATTTAAACTGAAGAAAAAGAGGGGAAAAAATGTACCGGAAAACATCAAAAACACGCATGCAGAAAGGCATCTTGACTGCGTTTCTGTGGCGTGAACCGGCCCTTAAAGCAATGTTTTTATAATGATTTACCTGGTAAATTAATGTACCTCATGTAGATGTACTATCTGAATCTATCTGAATATTGTAATCTGGATGCAGTGCTTTCATAATAAAATGTGAAATTTCTGACACCATGGTCCAAAAATAAATCTCTTTAAATAAGCAATAGCTATGTATAATAACATTGACTCTACAGAACAAAAATAGACTATACAACATTTTATATATACTAAACCACCATATAATTTTACTAGTATGAAGAAAGGTGAAAACAGGTAAAATTTCCAAGTTATTAATAAAGGCATATTTAACATATTCAACACAAAAGCAAATTTTTACATGTACAGGCAGTAATGCATACGTATATGTATATCTAAGGAATGTATAAGTGGTGCGCATTTGATAAAATTTGTACATTTATACAGAACTTTTCAAACAATAAAAGGGTATTAAAGTTTAAAAAGGTTTTCTTGTGACGTTTTTTTTTGTTTAATGTAATACTATTAGGTGAGTATATTATCAAATCTATTCCCATATATATTTAAATGTGTACATCTAAGAATAGTTTGTAAATTGAAAACTGATTAAACAGGTTCTTTGTCTGAAAAAATGCGTAGTTCTGGAAATGTTTTTGTTGGTTTTTTTGTTGCTTGCCCCTACCAGTGCATGTCACTCAGTAAGTTTAACCGCCTCCCGCCCGCCATATAGTAATATGATGGACGCAAGGCGGTTTTCTTGTTCTGGGAGGACGTCATATGACATCCTCCCATTCTAACAGCGCATGCGCGGCTCTTGGAGCACGCAGTGTGGCGATCAACGGTGCGCTGTGTCCCTCAGACACAGCGGATCACCGATCCACGGAAAGAGACGAAGATGCCGGCTTGGTCATGTGATCAGCTGTATCCAATCACAGCTGATCACATGTAAACAGGGAAATGCCAGTTATCAGCATTTCTCTCCCCACGAGCTGTCACACTGACAGCTCGTGAGGAGAGGAGAGCCAGAAATCGGCATTCCTCGGAGGGAACATGTACACAGATCATCAGAGCACTGATGATCAGTGTGCCCTGATGATCTGTGTAGCCCCAGCAGCGCCACCTGTCAGTGTCCATCAGTGCCAGCTCTCAGTGCTCATCCATGCCACCTGCCAGTGCCACATTTCAGTGCCCATCTGAGCTGCCTTTCAGTGTCGCCCATTAGTGCCAGTGGTGCCAGTCCGTGCCATATATGAGTGCCGCCTTTCAATGCCCATCAGTGCTGCCTGTCAATGCCCATCAGTGCCACCTACCAGTGCCTCCTTATCAGTGCCACCTATCAGTGCCCATCACTGCAGCCTCATTAGCGCACATCCGTGAAGGAGAAAAATCACTTATTTGCAAAATTTTATAACAAAAACTATGAAAACCACTTTTTTTTTTTTTCAAAATTTTCAGTGGTTTTTGGTTTAAGAAAAAATTAAAAACCCAGAAGTGATTAAATACCACTAAAATAAAGCTCTGTCACAAAAAAATGATAAAAACTTCATATGGGTAAAGTGAGGCAAGACCGCGCAATTGTCATTCAAAGTGTGACAGCGCTGAAAGCTGGAAATTTACCTGGGCAGGAAGGGGGTATAAGTGCCCTGTAGGCTAGTGGTTAAACTTGGTTGCGTGGCTTCCATTTTTATTTGCTCTAATTGGTATTTACACATAAGTAGTCTATTGTTTTCCTACATCTGAGATATTGATATCCACAATTAGGTCCATATATATTTGGACACGGCACAATTTTCATACTTTTGGCTCTGTATGCCACCAGAACAAATTAATTTGGATTGTTTCGCTTTAATTTAAAGTGCAGACTTTCAGCTCTAATTCAAGGGGTTGAACATAAATATCCAGTACAAATTTTAGGAACTGCAATCATTTTTATGCACAGTCCCTCCATTTTCAGGGGCTCAAATGTAATCGGACAAATTAATATAATCATAAATAAAAGTTCATTTTTAATATTTTGTTGAGAATCCTTTACTGGCAATGACTTCCTGAAGTCTGGAACCCATGGACATTACCAAAGACTAGGTTTCCTCCTTTCTAATGCTTTGCCAGACTCAAGCTGCAGCTCTTTTCATTTGTTCTTTGTGGGTCTTTCTGCCTTTAGTTTTGCCTTCAGCGAGTGAAATGCATGCTCAATTGGGTTGAGAGCAGGTGATTGACTTGGCCATTGCAGAATATTACACTTCTTTTCCTTCAAAAGCTCTTGGGTTACTTTTACAGTGTGTTTTTAAATCATTGTCCATCTGTATTGTGAAGTGCCGTCCAATCAATTTTGCTGCATTTGGCTGAATCTGGGCTGACAGTATATCTCTAAACACTGCAGAATTCATCCGGCTGCTTCTGTCACATCATCAATAGACACCAATGACTGAGTGCCACTGTAAGCCATGCGTGCCCATGCCCATCACACTGCCTCCACCATGTTTTACAGATGACTTTGTGTGCTTTGGATCATGAGCTGTTCCAAGCCTTCTCCATACTTTTTTCTTCCCATCATTCTGGTGCAGATTCATCTTAGTTTTATCTGTCCAAAGAATGCTTTTCCAGAACTGGTCTGGCTTTTTTAGATGTTTTTTTGGCAGTGTAATCTGGCTTTTCTATTCTTCAGGTTTATGAATGGTTTGCACCTTGTGGTGAACCCTCTGTATTTGCTCTTGTGAAGTCTTCTCTTGATTGTAGACTTTGACAATGATACGCCCACCTCCTGGAGAGTGTCCTTCACTTGTCTGGATGCTGTGAATGGGGTTTTCTTTACCATAGAGAGGATCCTGCGATTATCCACCACTGTTGTTTTCCATGGACGTCCATGACTTTTTTATGTTGCTGAGCTCACCAGTGTGTTCTTCTTTCCTCAGAATGTACCAAACATTTGATTTGACAACTCCTAATGTTGCTTCTATTTCTCTGATGGATTTGTTTCGTTTTTGAAGCCTTTCAATGGCCTGTTTCACTTGCATGGACAGTTCCTTTGCATGATGTAGGTTCACAGCAATAGAGTCCAAATGCAAATACCACACTTAGAATCAACTCCAGACCTTTTACCTGCTTAATTGATGAAGAAATAACAAAGGAGTAGCCCACACCTGGCCATGAAACCGCTTTTGATTCAATTGTCCAATTACTTTTGGCATCTTGAAAAAGGGGGGATGGCTACTCTTAAGAGCTGTAATTCCTAAACCCTTCCTCCAATTTGGATGTACATACCCTCAAATTAAATCTGAGAGTATGCACTTTAAGCCCATTATATAACTATAGCTTGAATATGTTTTGGTAAATACCTGGAGAAAAAACAAATTGTGCCTGTGTCCAAATATATATGATTCAATACATCAAACTTCATACCTCTCATATATTGCTACTAGGAAACTTCTTATGGGTAGCAAAGTCATAGAATACCTTTTGGGTCCAAAAAGCTTTTCACGCAACTTACTCCACGTATGCTAGAGGTGTGTCTGTACTTTTCAGTAAATCTCTGCCTTGTGTGATTGATACTATGTATACCGATCCTCATGGAAAATGTTGTTATGATCTTGTGATAACGGCTCTTCCCCTTTTTCAGCTGCACTCTTGTATGTCATTCTGGAGATGATTACTCCCCATTGACCTGCTAAATTATTGATTATGGGCAATTTTAATGCTTCTCTGTCTCCTGATTTGGACAGACCCACACCTTCCAAACATTTTAGTGGCAATCTTTCCACCTGGGCCCTGGCGGCTGGAGTTGGTAGGATGTTCTCATCTCCACAATTCGCCATCTAGTGCTACACTTGTTTCACCACCTCCTACAAAACTTTATCCTGTATTGACATAGTTTTTGCCATTGCTTCCCTTTTGAGTGATGTCCTGGAAGGTACCTGCTTACCTAGTGGGTTGTCTGACTATTGTCCCTTAGCCTTCGTTCTCAGGACTCGCCCTTGCTGAAATAGATCTTTATGGCGTTTGAGAGCCCATTGGATTTCCCACCTGGATATCTTAAATAAAACGCTGCCTATTTTGGAGGAATATTGGGAACTTAATGCGGGGTCTTCCTCTCCAGATGTTGATTGTGATGCTTTCAAGGCCTTCACACAGTGGCACTATCTGTTCTACCACTGTGGTGAAAGGGACCAAGTCCCTGCTACACAACTTTTTCAGAACAGGGTAGAAGACCAGACTGCTCAATATAATTCTGACCTGACTGAAGAGAACTTTGACCAGCTTATGTCTACCAAGATGGAGCTTCATCTACGTTTTGGCTGAGGTCACGAGGCTTGAGTTACTCAAGCGGAAACAAACGTTCTTTGAACAGGGAAATAGAAATTGTAGGCTCTTGGCAATGTTGTCCCAACATTAGGTCCCGATTACTTTAATCCTAGAAATTAAGACCCATACGGGGAAGTGATCACTACTCCAGAGTAAATGGTAAAATATGAAAGTGCAGCGCTAACTTAAAACAATGATTACACATATGATAGATCCCATATGAATGTGGATCGGCAAAATGACGGCGTCAGTTCATCAGATGTGCTAAATACGTATACAGTCTCCAACGCGTGAGGAGCCAGAGATAGTAGATATCAGAAATGATAAAGAATAGCCAAGTAATGCACTAACCAGATAGCGCATTGTTAAAGCGCATGGGACATTTAAGATGGTACTCAGCCACTGTATCACTGGAGCAAGGCGGTGTCATCTATAGGGTGACCACCATCTGTCCGGATGGAAGCTGTATCCAGCCATTGTGTTAATGGATCAGGGTGGGTGTCATCAGGGTGACCACTAGATGTCATCGGTTCCAGGAGAAGCTGTATCACGGATCCAGGGATGTCACTGCAGATGTGTTCTTGTTAGGCACAGTCCCAGGACCTTCTGGTTACCAGCTGCTTATAAACGGCCAGACCGGAGGTACATGTACATAAGATAGCTTGGCACTTCCCTAACGCGTATCGTGTAAGTACACATCATTATTATTACGAGTTTATATAGCGCCAAAGGGTTTGCTCAGCGCTGTACAATAGGTTTGCTCAGCGCTGTACAACATCATCAGAGGGGATGGAGGAGTTTAAACTTTATTATGACATTCTCTATAAGTCCTCTCTACCTCCAGACTCAGAGTTGCCAGAGCTGTCCTTTCTAGTTACCATTTCATTGATTTTCTGCTGGGAAAGCGCCTGGTCCTGATGGTCTACCTATCGAATTTTACAAAGCCCATGCTGACACTCTTGGCCAGAAATTGGCCACTTTCTTTACTTGATATCTGGAGGATGACCTGCTCCCCACTTCTATGAGTGAAGCTTATATCGTCCTTGCCTATAAACCCCTAAAACCCCACACTCTCTGTCTCCTATAAGCTTAATGCATTGTTAAATTGTGACCTAAAAATCTTAACCAAGCTCCTTACTGGTAGACTTAACTGTCTGTTACATTTGGTTATTGATCCAGACCAAACTGGGTTTATAACTCATAAATCTACAAATAATAATTTGTAGATTTATGAGTTATAAACCCATTTACCCAACTGTTCATAGATTATAATCCATGTACAGTTGTGTTCAAAATAATAGTGTGTTGAAAAAAGTGAATAAAGCTCAAAATCCTTCTAATAGCTTTTATTTCCATACACACAAATGCATTGGGAACACTACACATTCTATTCCAAATCAAAACATGAAAAAAATATATCAAATTTGTGTTGTTCCTCTAAAAAAATTGAAGAAAAGTGAATATTAGACTGTTCAAAAAAATAGCAGTGTTTGTATTCTTTACAAACTCAAACATTCATTATTAAACTGAAAAAATGTTTGAAGATTTTGCTTTCCTTTGAATCACTTAATATTTAGTTGTATAAGCACTGTTTCTGAGAACTGCTGTACATCTGTGTTGCATGGAGTCAACCAACTTCTGGCACCTGTGAACAGGTATTGCAGCCCAGGATGATTGGACTACATTCCACAGTTCTTCTCTATTTCTTGGTTTTGCCTCAGAAACTGCGTTTTTGATGTCACCCCACAAGTTTTCTATTGGATTAAGATCCGGGATTGGGCTGGCCACTCCATAACGTCAATCTTGTTGGTCTGGAACCAAGATGTTGCACGTTTACTGGTGTGTTTGGGGTCGTTGTTTTGTTGGAACACCCATTTCAAGGGCATTTCCTCTTCAGCATAAGGCAGCATGACCTCTTCAAGTATGATCCCTGGTATGCGATAAATAGGCCCAACACCGTAGTATAAGAAACATCCCCATATTATGATGCTTGCGCAACCATGCTTCACTGTCTTCACAGTGAACTGTGGCTTGAATTCAGTGTTTGGGGGTCATCTGACAAACTGTCTCTGGCCACTAGACCCAAAAAGAACAATCTTACTTTCATCAGTC